GTCCTGCACCCCCAGTGCAATGCACCCCCGGGGGCAGAACTGGGCACTGCAAAAAGGGGGTTCACAAGCACCCTCTGGCCTGCCACAGTCTCCCTGACACCCCAATGGCAGCCAGGGACTCATCCTTCATTCACCTGGTCACCATGATCCCTGCTTGGCCTCCTCCCCAATGCACCCACAGAGACCCAAACCCAAACAGCCCACCCGGACCTGGGGCACACCGGGAAGCTTGACATGGAGAGGGTGCTAAAATGGTGGCAGCAGCATAGGGCTGGACTTGAGACATCCAGCGGGCAGCCCTATGTTGATGCCAACCCCATCAGAAGACAGGAGCAGCATGGAGTAGAGAAACTCCCTTCCTCCCCACACAGCAATCTCTCACCCAGGCTCACAGCTCTGGGAGAAGTGGGGGCACTGGCACTTCAGGTTAACTCACAGCTCAGGGGAGATGGCCCATGTTTCTGGGGCAGCGGCAGAGGCTTTCTACACCACCGCTCCCGACGCACCGGGCAGCCTCCAGGCCAATTGGCATGACAAGGTTTATCAGATGCTCAGGTAACAGGTTAAGAAAAGCCAGAAAAAAATAATCGACTTAGCAGCTTATCTCCTACTCTGGCTTTTTTCAATCAGGGCAGTACTTAGGGCACACCTAACCCACTGGATCAGCTCACCCGCCTGGCCCTAGCGTGGGCCGGCAGGTGTTCACCCGTTGCATGTGTACCCTGCTTGCTCCTCTCTCCATAGACAGCCATTTCACCAGCCTCCACCAGCCTTTTGGCGAGGAGCAGTGAGCCAAGCCTGCCTGCTGGGGCTGCTGATGCCTCAGGGGAGACCCCCAGCCTCCCATGCCTCCACAGCCCCTCTCCAGGCTCTGCTGCAGCCCACCATGTTGTCTTTGGTTTGGTTATCATTTGAAGAGAGGTCGTAAACATGCTGGAGCACTGACATTTTGGCCACACACAGTTATTAAAGGAGCTTTATTCCTGTTCCCAGCTAGCCCTGAAATTAGAGACACAGCAGGGCAAAGGCGGCGAGTGCACCGGAGCATGGAACAAACCTAGATCAGGTGTGACTCATCGCTGGAGAGCATTTAACACTTGTGGCTCTTCCCAAACAGGGATGGGTCCAGCTCTGACTCCTGGCAATGAGGTTTCCTTCCCGTTGCAGCAATAGGAAAAGGAGGCAGGGCTGGCCAGAGCCACCCTTGGCAGCGTGGGGACTTGCAGCCTGGCTGTGACCCCTCTTCTCCCTAGGGAGACCAAGCCAGGCTGGGGAGTTACTGTGGTTTTGGGGAGTGCAGGCAGGCACTGGCTGCAGCGACCATCTCCCAACACTGGAGCAATGCGAGCTGTTGAGATGAATTGAATCCTCTGGGGGAGATTCCAGCTACAACCTAGAAACCTAGAAACCCCGCTGAGCAACTGTCAGCTGGCATAAATCCATGTTGATCTGAAGAGGGAATCCACTGCTATATGCTCAGGGGGGAGGTCTGGCTTGAGGATAGCTTGCTGATCCTCCAAGCCCAGAGCAACCGCCTTCCTCTGGCCAAGAGCAATGAACTGCACCATGTCCCGCTCCCAAGGGCAGGGGGAGAGCTGGCGTGAGATGGCAATAGCTCTTCAGAGGATCCCCCTGCTCCATCGCCCCTCCGGTATGGCTGGAGACAGGAAAAAAGGAGTGACAAAAACATTGAGGCTTTCCCACCGCAGTCCCAACATTGGCTTCGGGTGGCTGCTGCCCTGGCATCGCTGGTTGCAGAGCACCCGCCCCTGCCGGGACCCCCACACACTGCAAACGCGGGAAGGGTCAACAGCAAGAGCGTAGCTGCGATGTGCAGGGGAAGGGCAGTTTTAGAATGCTGCGGCACATTGTTTCACAAGCATCGCCGTGCTCCCGAGCATGCCAGAGGCACTTCGGATCCAAATACAACCCAGGTTGCTACAGGTACCTTTCTGAAAGTGCTCAAAGCAGTTCTGGGTGTAGGGCAAGAGCAGCTTGAGTTAAGGAGCTTAAGAAAAGCAGAGAGCAGAGGTATCTCCTTGTGGCTTCTTCCCACTCCCAACAGCAGTGACATCTGTTTCATTTCATGTGCTTATCTATTTTAATTGCGCATTAACAAGAGATCTAATAATGCCCAGGGAACAGATACACAAGTTTGAACACGTTTTCCTACTTTCTGCTGACCTATTAATTATTTCAGAGCTCTTGTACAGCTTTCTAGCTGTAGCTACATGTGGTTGGAGACATTATCCTCTGCCTGTTGCAGCTTGGGCAGAAGCAAACCTGCTGTGGATACAGCTTGGCCCTTCAAGAAGTACATTTTGGGTTTGGCTGCTCTCTTTGTAGGAGCGGAGTGGTTAATGCCAGAAAGCCCTTTGGCTGCAGACCCTGCGTCTCCACTTGGGCATGCGGCTGATGCAGGGATGCTGCTGCCCTCAGGGATCTGACACATATCCCTGGCTGGAGGGATGAGGGTGGACCATCTGCTGGGCCATGGGGCTCTCCAAGCAGCCATGTCATACGACTGATTAGAAACACACTTGTCCCTCTGAAGGATGTTCATCAGCAAGCAGAGAGCCTCGATGCAGCTGGTTGAAGGCAGGGACTTTAGCCCAGGACTTGGGCTAAACTCTGGGGCTCTTTCCTCCTCTGAAAATAGGCTGCAGCAAACTCAAGCTGAGAGAGTGAGAGGCCTCATGGCAGACCCAAGTTAACATCATGCAAACACTGCCTGGCCAGGAAGACAAACAGCACCCAGGGGTGTAGGAAAGGTCACCCAGTGTCATCCCTCCAGTAGACCCAATAGGATGAGAGTCACCATGAGCACAGCACCATCACCTCCCTTTGTCACTTGCCTCAGGAATGTCTGCAGCCCCAGGAACATCTCGGGGAAGGCTGCATGGGATGCCCAAGGGTTTCAGGGCTCATGCCAGCCCTTGCAGAGCCTCACAGCTCTTCCTCCTTCTCCTGGCCCCTGTGCTGACCCTGACCCTGGTGCCTGGTCAGTCACAGAGCCCACACCTTTCCCTTTCAAGGCAGGCGTGAGACCCACATACCAGCCCCGCCCAGGGAATCAGACAACCAGAGACCAGCCAAAAAGCAGAACCCACAGCTGTTTTTTTTAAAAATCACCGCATTTTATTTTTCAACCCTCCTCCCTGTCGTTGGCAGTGCTGCTATTCAGAGCCTGAGTTAATCCCTCAACAGCTCTGTGACTCCTGTGTCTCCTTCCCCATGTCCAAAGGGGCCCAGAGTCGACTGTTCCTCAAAGCTGCAGGTCCTTGGTCGTGGGGACAGTGAGATGCAGAACAAGGGTGATGGCTGGCTTTTGTGCTCAGAGGAATGGGCAGATTGCAAAAATTAGAGCTTAAAAACAATTAGCTGTTTCTCTCCTGGATTGTGGCAGTCACAAAGTGAACAAAACCTGAACTTGAGAGCAAGGAAGGCATGGTCCAAGCATTGGTCCCTGGACTTTGGGGTGCTCCCTGCGCAGAGGGGACAGGTCCCTTCCCACCTGCTAAGGTGTGATCCAGGTCTCAGTAAGAGGCCACTATGGTGGTTTAAGGCAGCAGCAGCAATGTGGTTTGGTTCCTGGCACAATGGCAGGGCATCTGCTTTCAGAGGTAGGACCATGCCCTGAGAGAGGGAGAGAGCCTGATGCTGCACAGGGCTGAGCCCAGTGACCGCATGAGGCTCAGACAGGCTGGGCAGATCCCCCTGCGCAGGGCAGGAGGAAGGCATGGGAAGCGCTGCCATCGCCCAGGGCAAGAGAGATGTGATGAGGCAGGGACACAGCCAGCAGCATATGGAGGGAGGCTCAGGACAAGCCAAAGTGCTGCAAGCTGGGCATGCAGAGCCAGATCCTGCCTCTCTGGGGGAAAGGAGGCAGCGGAGACAGTGCTGTGCGATCGGTCAGATCTGGCTGGACCGTGCCTCTGAGCCCTGCTCAGGTGACGCAGGGCTGGTGGTGGCAGGGGGCCAGAGAGGTATGAAGGCTCCCAAGGTACTGTCCGTTCACAGTCCCTTGTTAAAATAGACATATGGCACTTTGTCTCCGTGCTTGGCCACGATGCTGTCACGCAGCTCCAGCTCGAGGTCAGCCAGTGCAAGGGAGCTATGGGGAGAGGGGACAGACACTGAGACCTGTGATCCTCCTCCCTGACCACCAGTCAGGCCACCCTCCCTCCCCATTGCCATTCGAGGTCCCCTGCCGTCCCTGGGATCTTGCAGGCTCATGTCAAGACCCACCACCCATCCCTGGCATCCACCGCTCCCAGTGCTAGGGGGCAGAGAGCTGCCCATGGGGCTTGGGGTCGCAGAGCAGAGGAGGCACACGCTTTCCTGCTGTCCAGGGCACGAGCATCTACAGGAAGGCACTGCCTTGGGTTGAAGGGTGGGTGCCCATCATGCTTCTCCTGGGATGGGCAGAGAGCTAGGGGGGAAGGAAGGCTCTCAAGGTCCTGTGCAGGAGGGGGAAGCAGTGGGACAAGTACCATCTCTGCGGGAACAGGGCACAAGCTGCTGGCACCATGAACAGGAGGCTGCGGGACAGAGAAGAGCCGAGAGTTAGTGTTGGGGATCGCAGCCCGTTTTCCCCCCGGCTGCAGGGATCTCAGCCCAAGAGGTGCTGTTCATGCCCCATGGCTCCCCCAATAACTGGGCAAAGCTCAGGCTGAAAGGCAAGCAGCTCTGCAATCCCTTGCTGGGAAAGAGGTCCTTTTTCAAGCATCGCACCGAGCCATGCTTTAGGCACCCACAGGCGTTCGAGCAGCGAGATACTTACAAGCCCCCACAGAGCAGCACTTGCAGAGGCCCGTGGAGAACCCGGATCCGCTGCAAGAGAAGAGCTGGGAGTGAGTCCCCGGCCTCACCGCAAGCCCTGCTCACAGGGTGGGGAGACTTCTCCCCCCAACGAGGTTGAATGCCCAACACCTCTGGGGTGCCACCAACCCCTGCTGCGCTCCCACAGCCACTGCATGTCACTTGAAAGACCTTTGATGTACCAGTGACTCCAAGAGGGGGCAAAGCAAGCCGAAGCCTGCAACCCCTCATTTCATTCCCAGTGTCTTGGTGGCTGGGGAGCAGGGCTGGGGCACAACAGGACCCACTGGAACACCGTGGCAGGAGAAATGTGGGCTCACCTGCATGAAGGGGAATTTCTCCAGTCGCTCCATGATGATGGGCAAAATAACTAGGTGCAGAGAGAAAAGGTCAGGACCACCCTGCAAGCCAGCCCGCAGGGCTGCCCCAGCAGGACCATCCTTCCGGAGGCCATGGCAGCAGCTCATGGTGCTGGGGGCCACTGGGTGTTTGCTCACGGCAGGGACCTGGCATGGGATCCCCATCCATCCATCACCCAGGCAGCATGGTCCATCCTCCTTGTGCTCCCGTCCCTCCTGCTGGAGGGATCCACGGCAAGGGTCTCGCAAGGGCAAGGGCATGCCAGGCTGCGGGGCAAGGGGCCAGGGCCAGAGAGCACGAGAGGAGTCCTTGTGGGGCCCAACTGCCATGGGGGCACCCCACATTCCCCACGGGCTGTGGGTTGGGATGAGGAGGGCTAGGGGTTTGGGGGGCTCTGCTGGGAATGGCAGGATGGGGAGGCCAGCCCCATCAGTGAGATGAGACCAAACACCACCTGGGATGCAGGGCCACCCTCCCTCTTCTTCCTGGGGGAAACTGAAGCAGGGGAGGGTGAAGCAGTGGGTCCTGGGGGAG